GCGAGGATTCTTTCAGCACCCAAGGCAAGGCGAGCCGAGCGACCGTCCCGAAGCCGTCCCGAAGCCCATCGAAACAGGTACAAAGGAGGAGTTGAAGGTGGCGGGGAGAAGCGGGGGACGGCTGGCTGGCCGGTCGCTCGGCTCGCCTTGCCTTGTCATGCGTGCTGATGCCGGTACCGGGCCGCGGATCATTTTGTGATGCCGGTACCGGGCCGTGGCACAAAAAAAGGTTGGGGGCCACTGCTCTAGTCCAACTCCCTGCCCAGGAGGGCCTGTATCCTCCTGAACAAATGGCTGTATATTCTCTTTTTGAAAAACCTCAAGATAAAGTTGAAATTCAAAAGTTAAAATTAGATTGATACGTGGGTTTTGGTTCTGCCTCAACAAAAGTCAATATAAGTGAAAGGTAAGGATGAACCCAGAGATAGTAAACAAAGTAAAGTGCAGAGCTGTCCATAAAGGTTGACAGAATATGCAGAGTTGTGTTAATGGACAACATTAGGGGTTCTTAGTCAGTGGGCTGACCTCCAAAGGGAAGTCAAGGACTCTCCACCGAGCACTGAAGACCAGCAGCCATTCTGGATGGGTGTAGGACAACTCACTGCAGCCATCTCGCCATGTTCAACTCTCTGTGAGCAATTCCATGCAGGAGAACTCAACGCAATGAATGTTTCCTGCCACTGCTCTTTTGACATTATTTCCATTGACAATTGTCAAAATTGTAAATAACGGCAGATAACATTTATTGCACGGAGTTATCCCACATGGAATTGTCTGCTGTGAGATGGCCGTAGCAAATTGGCTGCAGTGAGTTGTCCCGTTCTGGTTCCAATAGGGATTCAGCTCCCTTGTTGAGATTGCCCCTTTGATGCAGACTAAAATGTAAATGTTTCCCCTTGCACATACCTGCCAGTCGTTTCTGGCTCTAGGGGGCTCTGCTCATCTCCGTTACAAAGCCAAAGAGCCAGCACTGTCTAAAGACGTCTCCGTGGTCATGTGGCTGGCATGACTAAACCCCGAAGGCGCACAGAACGCTGTTACCTTCCCACCAAAGGGGTCCCTATTTTTCTACTTGCATTTTTACATGCTTTTGAACTGCTAGGTTGGCAGAAGCTGGGACAAGTAACGGGAGCTCACTCCGTTACGTGGTGCTAGGGATTCGAACCGCTGAACTGCCGACCTTCCGATCAACAAGCTCAGCGTCTGAGCCACTGAGCCACCATGTCCCTGTTTGATACAGACTAGGGGGAGGTAAATGGCTGTAGACACAATAAATGTTGACTTCTATTGACCTCTGTTATTGAGGGAGTTGAGTATAGAGCTTGGTGGTTTTCTTGCAGATATTTCATTTCCCAAACTAGGTAACATCATGGTGCTAGTCCAGTAACCTAGTTTGGGTAACGAAACGTCTGCAAGAAAACCACCAAGCTCAAAGAGTACCAAGGATCCCTCAATTTCAACCCTGAACTACAACCACTCTCCTTCATAGGTACCTGTTGTGGTTAGCTGGCAGCAGGTGCAGACGGTGGAGGAGAGCGAGGATTCGGAGGAAGGGGCAGCGGAAGCTGCGTAGACGATTCGGGAATAAGGAGGCAGTGTAATGGCCCCTCCCTCTAGGGAATATAAGCTTGGTTGCAAACGGTTTTTGCCTTTGCAGAAGGCAAAAAAAGTTTGAAGGAGTTAGTGCGATGATTACAGACTCTGATTTATTGGACTAATTGGCTGCAAGCCATCTGTTATCTCCAAAGAGGGTTATTTGTGGAATAAAGCCGTGGTCTGGGTTTGCTTTCAGAAACTTCGGGCGAGGTCAGAACAGTACCTCGGTTATTCATGTTTCATGTAATGTAAGGTTAGAAAAGAATGATCATGTATTAGCCAGCTAGGGAGTAAAAGCACACACATTTTTGATCAAATGAACTATCTCATTGAGGATTGCTCTGGCTCTGCATTTCTCAGAAGCAAATCTAAAGCATAATTTTATCTTAGATATTTAACCCGATGGGATATCTTGCGATCCTGCAGTCCGCAAAATCATTTCCTTCCTGCGGAAGCTGCCTGCCTTCTCTGTATTTTTACAAACCTAATTTATCGAAGTTGGCCCTCCCTTTAATGTTGCCTTCTAAGAGATCCTGGTTAATGTGAGTGGGAAACCTGGATGCAATGTTCTTCCATTTTCTAAAGAAAAAGGTTTGGAAAATGGGGTGTAGGTTGACAGGCAAGTTGAATTTGGATCCTTGATGCTGAGTTTGGTTGTTTTCTTTCAGACGTTTCATTACCCCAATTAGGTAACATCATCAGTGCTAGCAGGAAGACTGTTGGGTAGGAGGTGCTGTCTGAGGCTGGGTGGCCTTCTTGCAGATGTTTCCTGGCCCAAACCAGGTAACTTCACCAGTCCTAGAAGGGACTGGATTTTGCCGTCTGTTTATATACAAGTGGCTTCCTTTGAGTGTTGCTTTCACCTTGATAGTTCATTGATTAGGAACAGATTATTGTTACTGTTATATGTAGACGAAAGAGCAAATCCCATTCTTTTCTAGCACTGATGATGTTACTTAGCTTGGTAATGAAATGTCGGCAAGGAAACAGAGAGCACCAAGGACTCCTCATTTCAACCCTGAGCTACAACTATTCTCCTTTATAAATTGAACTGGATTTATTTACTTGCAGAAATCCGACCCAGTAGTATCTTACCGGGAGACTGTCTGTGAAGAGTCTAACCAGTTGTGCTTATCCAAATCGCCTAACAAGCACAACAGGCTTTATATGAAAGCCCGCCCTTTCCCTGACGGATTGGCAGAAGATGTAGACAAAGGAGACGTTAGTTCCCGCCAAGAGCTGAAGCAGCGAGCTCGCTACCTGGCTGAGAAGTACGAGTGGGATGTTTCCGAAGCACGGAAGATCTGGTGCTTTGGACCCGACGGGACAGGGCCCAATATTTTGGTTGACATCACCAAGGGCGTCCAGTATCTCAATGAAATCAAAGACAGCGTCGTGGCTGGGTTCCAATGGGCCACTAAGGAGGTAGGCCTGGGGCAATATTTTCTCTTAAGACCATACAGGTGGTCCTCCGCTTACAGTTTAGTGACCGTTCAAAGTTACCGCAGCCCTGAAAAAAAGGGACTTAGGATTGTTTTTCGTTGTAGCATCCGTGTGGTCATGTGATAAAAATTCAGAAGTTTGGCAACTGGCTGATATTTATGGCGGTTTGCAGTGTCCCAGGGTCATGTGATCCCCCTGCAACCTTCTGACTAACAAAGTCAATGGGGAAGCCAGATTCGCTTAACAACCAGGTTACTAACTTAACAATGGCAGTGATTCACTTAACAAATATGGCAAGAAAGGTCATAAAACGGGGCAAAAATTAACTGTCTCACTTAGCAATGGAAATTTTGAGTTTAATTGTGGTCATAAGCCCAGGACTACCCGTATCTTGAATAATTAGTCTCACTGCATACGGTACTTAATTTTCCACAAATCGACATTGGAATACAGCAAATTTCCTACTGTGTTTCACCAAAAATTAAAAGCCAACTGGAAAGTAAGCCCTAGCATGATTTTTCAGGATGCCTGTAATATAAACCCTACCCTCAAAATAAGCCCCAGTTAACATCAGCTAGGTGGACACATTTAGTGCTGAATTTCCCTGAAAATAAGACCTAACCAGAAAATAAGCCCTAATGAGTCTTTTGGAGCAAAAATTAATATGAGACCTGGTCTTGTTTTCGGGGAAACACGGACATATATCTCGCTTGAGGGCCTCACTTTGATTGCTGTGCTGGTTGCATTGAGCTGCAATTGTTAATGTTTGCAAGGCTGCGATAACCATCCTTGTAAAAGGTCCTCCCGCTTCTGTTGCTCACCCAGGAAAGGCGTCCTTAGCACTTAGTCTCCTTTCTCTACGCAGGGCGTTTTGTGTGAAGAGAACATGAGAGGGGTCCGTTTTGACATTCAAGATGTGACTCTCCATGCTGATGCCATCCACCGTGGGGGAGGACAAATCATCCCGACTGCCAGGAGGGTCTTATATGCTTCTGCCTTGACTGCCCAGCCTCGTCTGATGGAGCCCATCTATCTTGTTGAGATTCAGGTACAACCCCCCCGGGTCAACTTGGGATAAGGAGTTGATGATCCTTGTTGGCATTCAGAAGAGCCAGCCAAGGCTGGTATCTCCATGGTCCCGTGACAGGTTTGACGTCATTACGGTCGATCTGAGATGGGATACATGGTCAGCTCGCTCGTCTCAGTTCCAAACTCAGCCACGTGTCCCTCAAGCTACTTGGGACTTGGGACACTTCTCTGCAAATGGCTATTTTGGCTCATGTTGTGTTCAGGTTCATTGTCGAATTTCCTGATGTCCTTGATCCAGGTCCTCCACAATGTAGTTCAAGCTAAGCTGTTTTTAGGGAGCGTGGAAAGAGCGGTATAAGAAAACTCTATGCAAAATATGCAATTAAAATGGCTGCTACATTTAAGTTGTGTTCTGAATTTTTCGCTCTGGACTCCCAAGCCATTTCCTTACTTTGCCACCAGGTGCTGCTATGGGTAAAACCCACCTTGAGGAAACACAGTGATTTCTCAAGTGTTGTAAAAAGATGTGCGCAGATCCTCTGAATATCAGTTGCCTGATAAAACTAGGGGGCGCGCATAAGCGCACCAATCGTGCCTATCGTCCCTGTCCTATTGTTTTCTATTTTTCTTATAAGTACCCTGTTTCTCCAACAATACGGCCTCCCCCAATAAGAAGTCCCAGCATGTTTTATAGGCATGAAATGAAATTAAGCCCCTTCCCCCAAATTAAGGCCTATATTAAAACATGCGAAATGGTGGGGAAATGGTGGGGGGGCTTGCCGTTAGGAAGTACTTTTGTTGCACACCCGGATATGGTGCTGCCTGCATTGACCCTGATACAAAGTGCCCCACCAACGCCGAGGTCAACATCCAAGCCATCACCGCCCGCCTGCCTGAAGATGCAAGGGGGGGGGGGGAATTAAGTCACCCCCAAAAAGATGGCCTAGCCATTTTTTCGGGGCTCAAAAAAAAATAAGACCCGGCCTTATTATATGAGAAACACGGTATCTATCTCATCTATTCAAAACTATATTTATTCTTATACCTGTATCTTGTAAGCGATGGACAAATCAAATAAATGTAAAAATGTAAAATTTGAAAAAAAATATCCTTTTTTAAAAAAGGATTATGGGTCCTGTTATGAGTTCTGCTAAGGCATGAGACTTTCCACTAATCAGCTATTTCTAGCCCTTCATCAAGATACTCCCAGTGGTTTAAAAGAGAGGCTTTTTAGCAAGCTAAAAGATTCTCCAACTGGCGGGAAGATTTTAGAATATGCAAGTCTAATTTCAGTCCATCATTTCAAGAGAAACACCAGCGGTTCTTCAAACGCTTTGCTTTCCTAAATGTATGCAGAAACCTAGCTTATTCCATAAAGTAAAGGTGGCAACACCTTTACTTTACATATAGTAAAGGTGTTGCCACATATACATATACACATAAAGGTGGCAACACCTTTACTATGCAAAAACTTGTTTTATTAATTGCAGTAACATAGACGAACATCGCAGTCCGAGATTCACTCTTGTTGCATGAATTCTATTAATCTCTATTAAGAATTGTGAGATGCTACGAACCGGTCCTTTCAGCCAGTCAGCAAGAAATGCTTAAAAAAAATGTGTTTTTTTTTTAACCCTAGTGCCCGGAACAGGTCGTTGGGGGCATCTACGGTGTGCTGAACCGGAAACGTGGCCATGTTTTTGAGGAGTCTCAGGTAGCCGGGACTCCGATGTTTGTGGTCAAAGCGTATCTTCCGGTGAACGAGTCTTTTGGTAAGAGATCTTTCTTAAACCTATTAGCCAGCTTGCCTCTGTGGGCCCAGAATCTCCCTAAAGTCACTGCAGTCAATTCTTAAAGATAGTCCTCAGCTTATGACCATAAACCCCTCAAAGACTGCTGTAAAGCACTGTGGAGTGGTATATAAGGCTAAGGGCTATTGGTATAATTAAATGTCTGTCGAGATTCTCAATCATCCAGGTCCCAAAGGTGCTTTTTCAGGAGGCAACTGGATTTTTTTTTCCTTTGAAGATGTTTCGCTTCTCATCCTGCAGCCAAGAAGGTTCCATACCTATTTGCACTACTCAGGTGACCCCGAGGACGCGGATAAAACCTCCAGGTGGCCTCAATGACCCTGTTAAAAGGATGCAAATGACCAGCTGTCTGCAAGGAATGTAAATCCTTCCATTCCCCACTATCCAGTCAGAGCTGAAGACACTTCTTGGATGAGAAGCGAAACATCTTCAAAGTAAAAATAAGAAGTCCAGTTGCCTCCTGAAAAAGCACCTTTGGGACTATTGGTATAATTGAACCCAGAATTACCGCCGCAAGTTGTAATTTGTAATAACATGACCTTGACTGATTTTACTTTTATTTGCAGTGGTCATTGAGTGAATTGCTATGGTCATTAAGTGAATCAGTTACCTACAACTGGCATTTTGTTAGAAACCGGATGTAAATGCCAATTTCTGGCAAACCTCCACCCTCTGGCAATTTATGGTCCTGTAACTATGTGATCCTGCAAATAGCCATAAGTGGAGGCTGATGGCCAAGCACCCAAAAACGTGATCAGATGACCCGGGGGTGGGCGGAATAGGTGTCAAAACTTTGAATCTGAGTGGCAAGTAGCCCTGGAGAAATCTATTTAAGAGATCAGGACTACCTGTGCAGTAGCCATATGCAATCGGCTAATTATTACCTGTCTTTAGTATCTATTTCCCCAACAATCTAGTTGCTTGGTGTATATTACACCTGACAAGGGCAGTTACATACAGGCGGGTCCTGGGTATACAGCTTAATTGCTTATTTGAAAGAACAGTTCAGTTCTTCCATCCCTCCAGTATCAATTAATCGGGATGGCCGACGCTGTGCTGAATCCACGAGTTGTCCAGATGCCAGACAATTTTCTCTTCGGAGGATGCAGAATAGGGATGGCTGTAGTTCTGCATTTTGTGAAAAGGGAAAATGGTCATCTATGAAAAGATGAGTTAAACGGCTCTTTCGTCCTGCACAAATATTGCATTGGTGATTAAAGTACAGGTAGTTCTGTGACTTTACAGCCCTTCATTTAGTGACCGTTATTTTTCGCACTTAAATGACCACTGCAGAATCCTTGTGGTCATGGGATCAAAATTCAGACGCTTGGCAATTGGCATGGATTTAGAAGGGTAGACGTGTCCCGGGGTCATGGGATCCACCTTCTGACAAGCAGACTCAATGGGGAAGCCAGATTCACTTAACAACAACCGGGTCACTCACATAACCACTGCAGTGATTCACTTCTGGCAAGAAAGGTTGTAAAAAATGGGGCAAAACTCAGCACTGTCTTGCTTAGCAACAGAATTTTGGGTCCGAGTCATATTACGTCAAGGATTACTTGTAAAGCGCCCCCTAAGGGCCACAGCAGCCTTTTTGCAGTGTGGGACAGTGGTACAAAAGTCGTCTTCTCTCCCCCCCCACAAACAGGTTTCACTGCTGATCTGAGATCCAACACCGGGGGCCAGGCTTTCCCGCAGTGTGTCTTCGATCACTGGCAGATCTTGCCCGGGGATCCTTACGATGCCAATTCACGCCCTTTCCAAGTGGTGGCCGAAACACGTAAACGCAAAGGCTTGAAGGAAGGCATCCCACCCCTAGACAACTTCCTGGACAAATTGTAACAGCTTCCTCACGCGGGCGAGGAGCATCTTATGACAATACCCGACTAATCTCTGCAATGGAATCGGGATTGCTTCACCAAAAGCAAAAAAAGGAAGACACGAGAAACCGGACAAACCGAAATGAAGACACAAAACCAGCCTCTAGCAATTATGTCACATTCACATAACGAGAAATAAAAAGTGTGTTGTTGAATAGAATGATCTAGTCGGGTTTTTATTTTCTCTGGAAACAAGACCGGTTCCGCTCGATGGTGTTTTTATTGTTTTTGTTTTTTTTAACGGCAAGGATTTCTGAGACAGCATTACATATCAAGTTCAGTTTATGCAGATTCAGTGGCTTTTATGCCGCCCCCGGTACGTAGCGTCTCTTGCTTAGCACACAAAATGCTGCTTCTAAAGGTTGGAGAAAAGTTTGCAGAAACAATCCAGCGTGGCATTTTTTTTTTTTTCCTAAAAAACAACCACTACCACCTTCCACGTGCTTAATTGCATCGCTTAATAAAAACAGTATGGCTTAAACTTCTTTTGACTGAGTCAGAAGCCTGAAATTGAGCTCTGGAACAAAGAGGAATTTTTCAAGAGACGTCCCCTGAGTTTTAGTGCATCTCTCCGGGAACCTTTAGAATTTACAGCACAACAGGAGGAAAAAACTACAGGAAGAAAAAAAAAAAGTCCTTTCGAACAGCACTGAAGAGAAAATCTCAAAAGTAGTAGCAAACAGCATTATTTTTCTTGAACCAAAGAGAGAAGAATTGATTACTTTTAATCAATACAAAAAAAAACAACCCAGCAGACACGTGGAGATCGATGAAATGCTAGCTAAAAATTGATTTCCGCGGTCGTTAACGATAACAAAACCAGTGTCGTTCAGGGTAGAACATCCAAAGGGAAATGGTTACCTGCAGGATGCTTCAGGCATCAAAACGGCCCAGATAAACTCTATAAATATTAAGACTTGGTTAGGAAAGCAAAAGATTGATCCGGCAATGCCTCTGCAATTTAGGAACACCAGTTGGATAAAAGAGAAACAAAAAAGGAAGGAAGTCAAAAGGGAGAGCAGGGAAGAGAACTTCTGAGACCTTTAAGCAAACGGTAGGGAGAAAAATAGGAAGGAAATCTTGGAGCTTTTCTCATCTCATCTACTCTGGCTAAAATGCTCCGGCCAACTATTAAAAAGTTACGGGAAGTTTCATGAAAAGGTTTGCAGGACCTCTAAGGCATGAAGGGGCTGCTGTTTTTTTTTTTTCTTGGGGTTTTTCTTTATTGATCTAGGTCAGGGGTTTTGAAAACCTGTGGACTTCATCTCTGAGAATTCCATTCTGGGAGTTGAAAAGTCCACACAGGTTTTAGAAATGGCCAAGATTTGGACACTCCAATCTAGGTTAGTGGCTGCTTCTCCTTCGGAGAGATTCTTTTTTTAATGCCGTAGCTGATGAAACAAGCTTGCACTCCAGGGGTCTCGGGTACAAAACCTGACCGTGGGAAAGCACTTTACACGAGGGCACCTATTTGGGAGATTCCCCAGTATCACAGATTTTGTACAGTTGGGGGCGGGGAGCAAATAATGATTATCAGTGAAATTGCTTCTTTATGAAATACTTGGAAATTATCCTCCAAGGATGATACTATTCAGCAGGACTCTTCCTGGGATAGTTTCAGCAATTTCGTTTCGGCCACACACACACACACAAAACAAAAACAAACCAAAAAAACCCTACTCGTGAGGCTTAAAGCAGAGTTCCCCAAACTTTCTGGGTTGGCGGCCTGGAGCGGGGGAGGGAAAGGGGGTCATTTTGTGGGTGGGGGCGAGTGCATGTGCGCCCACAATGTTCGTGGCACTTGAGTGAGGCCGTGAGCGCCTATGGCGACGTTCCCATGAGTGTGCGGGGGCGGCTCTATATGTGTACAGAGGCAGGCGCATAGGCCGACCACTCATGCGGCCCGGTAGTGGGCCAGGGAACCCCTGGCTTAAAGCATTCATTTGCTTCTTTCGCTGAGGTCCCCCCCCCCCTTTCTAACTGATGGAAGTTTGTAGCGTGACAATCCTTTCTCATTAATTTAGCTACACTCATAAAACAACTCTTTAAGACAACTGAGGGCCAATCTTCCTAGTAGCAATGATCAGCGTGATGTGAGCTGTGGTTCAATGTCCTGATCCTTGTGCAGATAAAAAAAAGGATGCCAAGGAACCATCCAGAGGCCTGAAGCACGGGCTATTTTGCAAGATCTGAAGCAGCGATCTCTGCCTCGCCCCTTTCCTTCCTCTTAATGAGAACAGACGACCCATCCTAAAAATTAACCTCTGAATATCGTATTCACATCTTTACAAACACAGATTAGATGCATGAAACAGACTTTGCATAGCATACTTTCCCCCCCCAGTTCTCACAGGGTTGGGGTGTTTGTTTTTTGCACATGTAACTGAGCAGTTTCAGGAGAGCAGACTCCTAAATAGAAACACCAATTCATATTTACGAGAGGGATTGTGATCTCACGGAAGAGGAAGGGAAGAGGCAAACAATTTATACAACTGTTAAGTTTGCAGAGTTGCATCCTCTCCGTTAAGGATTTCTTCCAGGTCCCAGCAAAAGGTCAAGAATTCCTCAAAATTTAAACTCCTTCCTCTTGTCCTTAAGATCCGGGATAAGGCAGGTTTTTGTCACACGAGTAATTAAATTCATTTTAAACACTGCTTTTTTTTTTTTTACATTATTGCTAGATCTAAGCCAAAGTTATAATTAGCACATTCATCCTTCGAATCCAGAGTAAAACTGCGTCAGTTTCACCACCATAAAGTTGAAAGGCTGGCTTGTTGGAAAATATTTCTCCCAAAATGGAGGGAGGGAGGAAGAGAGGGAGGGAGGAAGAGAGAGAGTGAAAGAAAGAGACAGAGACAAAGAGAGAAGACACAGAGAGTGAGAAAGAAAGAGAAACATCCAAGATGAAAAGGAAAAAGAAAAAATTCCAGTCAGTTTTCTTCCACTGTTAATCTGCACGTAAACAGTCGTGGAATCCAAAGCTTTTTGTTTGCTTTGTTTGTCTTCTCCCAATAAATATTTTAAAATAAAAGTTCCAAGCTGCGAAGAAGGCAGTCCAGATTTTCATCAGCTTTTTTTTTAGTCCAGGGAGATGATATCCGGAATGTTGCTCACGCTGTTACTGCTGAGCACGGCCGTCTCGCTCCGGCCCGAAGAGCTAACGCGAGTGCTGCTGCTGTCGAGGGGGCTGGCTGAGGTGAGGATGTTGCCGGAGGCGGTGTTTGCTGGCAAGGACGAGGTGAGACTATCCAAAAACATAGGAGCACAGTACTGCTTGAAACAAACAACGATGGAAGGTAAGGGAGGGAGACTAGATACAAGCGGGGACAGAACAGCATGCGCATCCGAGCCACAGGTGGCCAATTGCACCACACTTCTGCTAAGGGAGTGTTTCCTCAACTACACGATGTGTGGACTTTCCAACTCCCAGAATTCCCTGGCTGGGGAATTCTGGGAGTTTGGAAGTCCACACATTTTATAGTTGCCAAGGTTAACAAACACAGCTCTGGACTGTCTAGGCAGACTCTCAAATCATCCGTGCTTTTCCAAAAGACTTTTGTTTCTTGGAAACCTTTCACTTCTCAGCCAAGAACTGAAGAAGCTTCTTGGAGGAGAAGCGAAATGCTTTCGAGGGGGTAAAAAAAAAAAAAACCAAGAAACTCCAACTGCCTTTTGGAAAAGCACCTCTGGGACACTTGTCTAGACGGACAAAAGACATCCTTATTGAGTCCAAGAGAAGCAGTGATAAAACTCCACATCTACGCTGTTAAGCCAATCTCATTGTACACATGTTGTACTCTGACAATAAAGGTAATAATAATCAGGCTAACAGGCCCCTGTGTCTATAACCCTAAAGAGGAGAGACACTTTCATTATGGAACCTTTCTGACAGGGTAGTGATTTAAGAGCTGACCAGCTGCCCCAAATGATGCACTGATGTATTGAAGGGAATGAGTCAGCAAGGTTTTTGACTGCTATCCCTTTAAGAGCCTGTATAATAAGAAGAGGTCCTGTTAGGGCCTCTCTCTAGCTGTGTGTTCTTTCCCTGCTGTAATTGCTGCTGGTTTGACCTCTGCTTATAGTATGTGTATGTATATAGTATATATTCTTTTGTAGATAAAACCACTATTTATTACAAACCTCTG